TCCTCGGTCCCCAATGCGCAGGAGTTCAACAGCAGAGTGCAAGCAGACACGCTGTGGATTCGGTTGCCGAACATCCGGAGAGCACTACCTGTCCTCATGATTAGCGATGCAGCCACTCGCTTCTTGGCAGGACGTGTTCTACTTCGAGAATCCCCTGAGGAATTTGTCCTGGCATTGGAAAGAGCGTGGATCAGAAATTTTGGCCCTATGAAAACCCTGCAAGTGGATGACCACCGGAGTTGGGGCTCAGACTATGTGCGATCCTGGTGCTCAGAACAAGGAGTCACCCTGCACGTGTCACCTGGACAAAGCCACACTAGATTGGCCATCTTGGAGAGGAGGCATCAGGTTACTAGACGAGCCCTTGAACTCTACTTGTGTGACCAGGAGCAGAGTGATGTGCCCTTACCTCATGAACCACGAGAACGCCTGATCCAAGCGCTATGCTATGTGATTCCCCAGCTCAACAGAAGCACCAATGTGAGGGGATACAGCCCAGTGCAGTGGGTCCTTGGATACACACCACATGTACCGGGACTTTTGACGGAAGAGCCACTTCCACCGCCTACACTGGAGCCTTCAGAAGAATTCCTCAACAAGCTCAAACAGCAGAAAGCAGCTGCCAATGCCGTCTTCTCAGCAGATGTAGACACTCGTCTCAGAAGGGCATTGAACAGGAAATATACTGGTCAGCTGGCCATCTTCCACCTCGGCGACCTATGCTACTACTACCGAGACGGACCTGGTGGCATCGGCCCTAAGCTGAGATGGAGAGGTCCCGCAAGGGTGATCATGGTGGAACAGATTGAGGCTGGACCCCACAGCACCATCTACTGGATTGTCCACGGCACCAACCTTCTGCGAGCGGCCCCAGAGCATTTGCGCCCTGTGCCTCGAGAAGTTGAGGAGAAGAGGACGACAGAGGATCCGTTCTTCAAGGCCCAGCAGGCATTGCAGGGGGTCAAAGGCAGAGGAACCACACTATACACGGACCTCACAAAGAGCAACAAGAGGCAGCGGCATGAAGTTTCAAGTGGAGATGAAGAGGAGGAATATGACCAGGATGCTCTGGAGCCAGATGAGCCAACAGGGTTGCAGGATGTCTGGCAGGTGAGTGATGATCAGAAGGTTTGGACAAGAATCCACAACTGCCCAAGGAGGGAACTCTATGTTCCGGACTCCAACGAGGACATCCCCATGTACCGGTTCAGTGATGAAAGGGTCACAACAGTGAGAAGACCTCCACCGCACCCTGAAAGAGTTCAACTCCGAGATGAATGGAGGAGGATTGATGCTGGCAGGTCCTTGCATTACACCTGGACTGGGACAACAACCTTCACCATTGAGGGAGACCATGAATCAGACCCTGATGAAGTGATTCAAGAGATACTGCAAGAACCAGAAGAACCACCAGATCCTGAGGATCCTGGAGAGAACTCAGAGAACCTCCCTCAAGAGAACTCAACAGCCCTGCCTACCTCAGCTCCAGGCTCGACGACGGAACCTGGGCAGAATAGAAATGAGGGTGCACCACCCGCCGAAGTTCCTGAAGTACCAGCACATCAGAAGAGACTATATGAAGGTCCCCATGAACCAGAAGACTTCAAAGCTCAGCGATCGAGGGTCGACAAACAGGAGACTTTGTCCTTCCTCCAGAAGCCCCGCGTGTATGGACCTGTTCGATCAGAAACATCAAGGGCATCACCCTATGACCCGTCGCCAGAGGAGACCGAGATGCAGATTGACGTCGATCTACAGCAGATCACTGATCTCCCACCTGGATGGCACATCGAACAGGGATGGCTATGCCTAGACGCTCCAACAGATGAATGGGCCCTTGAGGGCAATTGGCTGATTCGGAACCACTATGTCCCAAGGAAAAGCGGCTTCAAACCAACACTGGAAAGTTGCCCCATCGACCTGAGCTACTTGGCAAAAGATCGAGTGACATCTACATCTCATGGCACCTTCAAGGATCGATGGAAGAGGCATAGTAGCAACCAGATGATCGAAGAAGCCTACTGGACGGGACAAACCAGGTTCAAGATCAAGCCCAATTGGAGACAGAAGGCGCAGGAGGACTACAAGAAGGCCAGCAATGGTTTTAAGACCCTTCGGTCGACTGGAGATCAGCCCTTGACAAAGAAGAAGAAAGGCCGTGATGAGGTCTATGAGCGCCACATGTCAGTCACTGACAGGCAGGCATTCATGCAAGCAAAGATCAAAGAGCTTGAGAGCTTCTTCAAGAACGAGGTTTGGCTCTACGATCAGGAGCAGAATGCAGACCCCTCACGAGTCCTCAAGGCCCACTTCATCTTGAACTGGAAGAAGAATGAAGATGGATCTCCAAGAGCAAAGGCGAGACTCATCACCCAAGGATTTAAAGACCCGGATGCCCTTTCTGGTGCCTTGACAACAAACGCACCAACACTGACCAGGCTTTCAAGAGGGATGATCTTGTCGATATGCCAGATGAAGCAATGGCATATGTTCACCAGCGACATCACAACAGCTTTCTTACAAGGGAAGAACTTTTCCCAGGAGTCCAACAGGGTGATCTGGATCAAACTCCCAAAAGATGCAAAGGCACTACTTGGACTCGATCCTCAGGACTCCACGGTGATGAAATTGATCAAGCCGATGTATGGGCTGTGCGATGCCCCAAGAGCATGGTATGAAGAAGCCAGTGAGAGGATCCTACGTGCTGGAGAAGGGAACATCCACCGACATCCACTGGACCCATGCCTCTTCATGGTCTACAAGCCTACGACCACAGAAGCCATGCAGGACCCCAGCATTGAGAGGGAATTGGCCTGCATCTTCGGAATCCATGTGGATGATTTGGTAGGATGCGGAGACCCCCGTGATGACGATTTCCTTGAGGTGAAGAAGAAGCTGCAGGAGATCTTCACCTTCCGTGAATGGCAGGACGGAGACAAGTTGGAGTACTGTGGAAGTCAAATCAATTGTGAACAGGAGAATGTCATCTTCCTGAACCAATATGACTACATCCACAAAGTGAAGCCCATTCCAATCCACAAGGAACGACAAGCAGACCCAAGTCTACCAGTGACAGAGAAGGAAAGGACGCTCCTGCGAGGATTGGTTGGAGGGCTACAATGGCCAGCAACACAGAGCTCGCCGCATCTGCAAGTGTGCATCTCGCAGCTAGCAGGAGAAACAGCCAAGGCCACTATTGCCACCCTTCAGAAGGGCAATAAGCAGCTGCGCTATGCAAAAGAATATGCAGACGTTGGCCTCCAATATCGACAGCTGGGTGACAAGGAGAAGATGACCTTCATCGCCTACAGTGATGCCTCGTTCGCCACAAGATCTGATTTGAGCAGTCAAGGTGGCTACATGCTGGCTATGTGCCATCGTGATGTGGCTGAAGGCATTTGTGAGGGACACTACAACGTCCTGGACTGGCGAAGCTGGAAGTTGCCTCGGGTATCCAGGAGCACCCTTCCTGCCGAGTCTCAAGCGGCAAGTGAAGCTGCAGATAGCCTGATGTACACCACACTCTTCTGGAACCTCATCTACCGCCCGTTGATGCCCTTGGACAACGTCCAAACTGGAGCAATGGCCAACAGCCCAAAGCTGATCGTCGATGCAAAGGCCCTCTATGACATCCTTGTGAAAGATGAAATTCAGGCGGCAACAGGGGCCGACAAGAGGACGACAATCGAAGCTTTGGTCTGTCGCGATAAGCTGGCCTGCTGCAACGGCAAGGTGCGATGGGTTTCATCCGAGTTGCAATATGCAGATGGCTTGACGAAGGAATCGGCAGCTCCATTGCTTGGACAGAGATTGAGGAGTCACATGACAAAGCTCACCAGTGATGAAAGTTTCCAAGCATCCAAAAGGAAGAACATGGCCAACAGGAAGAAGGGCGAGAACATGTATGCATTGAAGAGGCCCGAACGAGCACTCTATGCAATGTTCGCCACCTACTTCATGAACAAGGTGGAGGGCACAGAGATCCAAGAGATGGAGCAAACGAATGAGAGCACATACCATGCCATGGTCGAGAATGATGTTTTCGACTACCTCATCATGATCCTCACAACAATGCTGCTTGGCATTTTGGTATGGCTGTGCATCATGTGCAATAGTGGTTGGACTATCACCTGGACTCCATGGATTACAAGTTCAAGAACCACAACCGGGACAAGGACAAGTACCAGAGAAAGCAGTGCACAAACAGACCGGACTGGTCTAGAGGAAGAGCGCCTCATTCAACTGAGGAAGAGCAAGGTGAAACTGACTGAGGAAGTCGCACACCTACAAAATGAATGGGCCCTGGCGACACAACGCCTACATGATGAGCGACAGCAAGTACAAATCTTGCACAGGAATTTGATGAAGCTGAAGGAAGAGCAAGAGACCGTGCTCCAACAGAAGCTGAAGGTGGCCAAGCAGAAGGCATCGCTGAAGCCGATCTACCTGGCTAGCATGGGAGGCTGCTGGCATGCGAGGAGAGCTTGTGTGGCCCAGAGGACAGCCAATTTGGTCTATGAGCGGCAGCCGTGCAAGGCCTGTTCACACCTCTACTTAGAGGATTGCACTCCCCAAGCCCCAATGGATGGAGTGCACTGGTCTGAATACACCCACGGCGACCTCACTGGAACAGCCACTAGCTCAACGACAGAGTGGTAGGCTCTTTGATGACCTTCTAGCCACATGCACGTTTGAGGACTGAACCCTTTTCCACCGATGTGATTTGCGTGCCACGCAAACTAGGCATGCTTGGTGGAGGGTTACTTGTTGTGTGCGCGCCCGCCTCGAAACCAGCGGTGGGTGACGCGTCCGTGACCCCATGGCTGCGCAAAAGGCCGTGTGACTGCGGCCGCCCTGTTCGTTTTCGACGATTCCCTGGAACTTCGTTTGTCCAGACCTGGTAGCCAACTCCGTTACTACCAACAATGTCTATCAGTGCACCAATGAGACTCATGAGATTCTCCACAAAAGCAGGAGAAAGCTGTTTCGCGATGGCCTAGGCCCGCTCTGGCATGCTGGCGGACGCCGGCATCACCAACACAGCGCCCACGCGCACGGCTGATGGGCCACTTGGTCGAGTTGTGCATGGAGATTTAGACCTTATAGTGATTTCAGAGTAGATGGCACAACCCCCAAAAAGGGATTTATATGGGCCTCCATTGCCATCATCTAAAGATACATACTGGACATCTTACGGTCTGTGCCATCTACTCTGAAGCCATTGTAAAAGCTCAACCGCTCCACCGACGGTCTGGATCCACTGCCAACCCTACCCTCCTATCGCTTGGATGTGTCCAACACAGGTCCAGTCATACCAAACCTGAGAAGGTGGCAGTGGATGTATGTGGATCCTTAAAGAAAGGAGTCCATAGAACTCCAAAACCAGGATTCCTCCAACAACCATCCAAAATCCGGATTCTAAGTAACTTATGAGCTCTTCTTCCTCTCAGCTTCCTGTTCTTTCTCGTTTTGCTTGAAAAAACCACCGCACTGCGCCCGGTGCAGGTCGTATCGCGCTTGGTGGAGCCTCACAGTGGATGCCACCAGCCTTACAGCAGGCGTGCCCGAAAACGCGGCCGAGTGAGGGATGGGCCGCCTTGCGGAACAAGGCGCGGGGGTAGAGAATGTATGGAGGTTTCTGTACCGTCTACATGAATATAGTAGTGAATATAGCCATAGTTGAATCTTCCAACTTTATCTACGACATGAGGCGTTTTTTTGGGGCGGGTTGGAAGCGTGGGTGTTTTGACGGATGAACAGGTAGACATGTTGCGTAGTTGGAAGACCTGGTTGCAGCATAGCTGAACCAGCAGTACTTGGGTGAGGACGACTGTGGCAGTGAAGAGTTCACACACCAGAAGCTCAGCCCGATATCAAAACCAGGATTGGTTAAACATCACTCCTGACCCGGAGGGTGGGGCAAGAAAAGCTGAATGGAGGGTCGCAAGGATCAAAGGGATTCACATTTGGGCGCTGGGTGTCCCAGTATTGGAGTGGCACATGCAGGGCTTCCAAAACTCAAATCACACCATTACGTAATGAACATCCAGAGTAAGTTCACGGACATACAAAATCTATCAAAATCTCCAGCTCCAGAAAGCAAAGTCATCTTCACCATCCCTCCCCGAAGAAGTGTGGCTTCTGGAAATGATTGCCTCGCCAAGTAGTGAACTTCCAACGTGATACGCCTGAAACCCTTTGGTTTCAAACACAGCTCAATGACCCAAGCAGCACCTCGGTTTCGTGCGCACGCGCCAGATACATATCATCATTTTTTGTGCATTACCTGTTTATTCAACTTCTGTAGAGTGTACATTCTGTGCGAATCTCTTTTACATGTTCTTTTCATTTCACCTCGTCGTTCGGTCCAGAACAGACGACCTGACCTGTTGTTCCAGAACCGTGTTTCTCACTGTAGATACTGTAGCAAGTTCTTCGACCAGGGTTCCATGTGTTTCCAAAAGAAGTATCGGTACGCCACCATTACCATGCATAGCTCAAATGTACAATTGATATTAATTGTCTGCACCACAGAAGCATATACAGTTGCCGTGGAACACCAGGAAAGAAAAAAACACGGTATGGACTGAGTCGCAATTCTTTCAGAGCTACCAGGTCAAGTCCAAGGTTGATCTTTCTTTGCACAGAAAAGCCTGCTGTAGAGACGTCGTGGAGAGACGTCCAAGCCTCGGCTTTTACGTCGAGACGTCGTTGGAGGTCTTCCCCACAAGATCTGCTTGGATTTGGATGGCTTGGCGAGTCAGCAGCTGAGAGGGGTCCTGCGGAAAGATTCGGAACAGGACCCAACCACCTGGTCCGGCCTCCTTCACTCAGGTGTGAGCCATGGTTTCATAGATCTTGAAGAGCAGATCTACATCAGTCCGATTCTGCAATTGAAGACCAGCTCCATCCGTGCGCAGCAGCAACAAGTCTTGTCCTTCCAATGCAAGGCCTCTTGATCGGTCGACGCGGTTTGGACTCGCTGACGGGGGGTTAAACCTTCAGAGAAGAATGTGTATACCGCATATATACATATAATATGTGCTTTTGAACCTCGGTGTTCCTTTTTTTAACCTGTGAAAGATTACCACCTCGAGAAGCAGTGAATTCACCGTCAATCAAGGGTATTCACGACATGTCACTGGTATTCACCGTCAAAGCATCCCAGGGCGTAGTGATTCACGGCGAATCCAGTAGCTGCGCAGTATCTGTTTGGCACGTGATGTCATGTTTCTCTGTTTTGGAACCAAAAACCACGTGGTGCCTGCTTCCATGAAAGAAAACATGGGGGACAACTCAACCGCCCAGCAAAAACGGGCTCTTTTCATCTACGTTTCATCTCTCGAGTCCAGAACCGACCCTATCATCTCTCGAAGTGGTGACCGTCCAACCGCCGCGCAGGTGAAGTGTGCAGGGCAATTTGTGGGGAATCCCGTGCTTCTTCTGGCCACCCAGTGCGACACGTCGGACTTCACCGGCACTGCCAGGTGAGGGATGGTGGACGATTTGACAGCAAGAAAGAGTTCCAGACACTCCATCGGACTGTAATGTTTTCTTTTTGGATACTATACCTTTAACAATGCAATATATATATATATATACAATATAGACACATTGTAGAGCTTCGCAGCGATGGGCAATCCCATAAGGGTTGGTGGTTGGTGGTGGTTGTTCGTTTACGAAAGCCAGCCTTCGTAGAAGGCGCTAGCGGAGTTGTGCCTGGCGAACGAAGTGAGTAGTTAGGGGGTCTGGGGGGGTGGCCCGAGAAAGGTACACGTCAACTCGGCACATGCTGGGGGAGGAGGGTGCTCCGAGGGAAGGTTTTTTGGAGGTGATTTTTGAGGGGTGGTGATGCAAGAAATGCCAAATGCATCATTTGCATCATCTGAATGGAAAGGTGTAGTTGGCACCTTGCAAGGTATAGAGACCTAGGGTAGCCATAGTGCAGCTACCAGGTATAGTACTTCAAGTTCCCTTTCCGTCAACCGCTTGAGACCCTCTACACACGCACAGCAATCCACAGCTTTGAAGTCTCATTCGTGCTTTGAACTTGTATAGGTGTGTAAGAGGTATAGCAACATAGTATTTATACGGACCCAGGGTAGCTACAAGTAGCTACAGTTCTGTTCCCGGGTATGGGGTATGGCGCGCATGAGGCTTCAAAGCTGTGGTTTTCAAGCTAAATT